ATATCTGGGAAAACTCCGTAAAGCGGTCAAAACTGACCAGTTGTATTTCCCTATATAATCTTTGTATTTTATGGGAAAAACAGAGGGTCATTTCAACGCAGACTTTAGGGTACTTAAACTCAGTATATCTGGCTAATTTTTTGCATGCTCTTAGGTCAATGGCTTGACCTTTAGGGAAAACTGTCGGTTACACTCAAAGCCCTCGACGAGGGCTAAAAAGTGACCGCGAGTGAAATTCTCTTTATATGAGCTCTATTACGAAAAAAAATTTCCTCCGACGACCCCCCCTTGATATTTTGTGAGGTGGTAGAAGAACACCTAGGGGTGTCACAAAAAACTCGGCATATCTGGGAAAACTTCGTAAAGCGGTCAAAACTGACCAGTTGTATTTCCCTATATAATCTTTGTATTTTATGGGAAAAACAGAGGGTCATTTCAACGCAGAATTTAGGGTACTTAAACTCAGTATATCTGGCTAATTTTTTGCATGCTCTTAGTTCAATGGCTTGACCTTTAGGAAAAACTGTCGGTTACACTCAAAGCCCTCGACGAGGGCTAAAAAGTGACCGCGAGTGAAATTCTCTTTATATGAGCTCTATTACGAAAAAAAATTTCCTTCGACGACCCCCCTTGATATTTTGTGAGGTGGTAGAAGAACACCTAGGGGTGTCACAAAAAACTCGGCATATCTGGGAAAACTCCGTAAAGGGGTCAAAACTGACCAGTCGTATTTCCCTATATAATCTTTGTATTTTATGGGAAAAACAGAGGGTCATTTCAACGCAGACTTTAGGGTACTTAAGCTCAGTATATCTGGCTAATTTTTTGCATGCTCTTAGGTCAATGGCTTGACGTTTAGGGAAAACTGTCGGTTACACTCAAAGCCCTCGACGAGGGCTAAAAAGTGACCGCGAGTGAAATTCTCTTTATATGAGCTCTATTACGAAAAAAAATTTCCTCCGACGACCCCCCTTGATATTTTGTGAGGTGGTAGAAGAACACCTAGGGGTGTCACAAAAAACTCGGCATATCTGGGAAAACTTCGTAAAGCGGTCAAAACTGACCAGTTGTATTTCCCTATATAATCTTTGTATTTTATGGGAAAAACAGGGAAATTTTAACACAATATTTAGGTTACTTAATGTCTGTACATCATGCTAAGTTTTTGCATACACTACTATAGTGACTAGGCCGTATGGAAAAACTGTTGGTCAGACTCAAAGCCCTCGATGAGGGCTAAAAGATGATCTTGAGTAAAATTCTCTTTATATGAGATATATATATATATATATATATATATATATATATATATATATATATATATATATATATATATATATATATATATATATATATATATATAAATAAATTGACGAACGATCCCCTTAATATTTTGTGACGTCGTAGACCGACCCTGGAGGGTAACAAAAAAACTTTATTCCCGTCGGAAACAGCCATTATAGTCGTTAAATATGTTCATATAACGTAATTTCTTATATAAGCAAACAATATAAGTAAACAATGACATACGTCATACGTTCAGTTTTCAAGGGAGGTAACGTTTTTAAAATTATTATTTTTCAAATAATTGTATAATATTTTAAACAGAAACAGAAAATGACGAAGTATAGCATTTGTTTTAGAACAAAATTAAATTGTTAATTTAGTTAAGTATCCTAATTAAATAAATTAATTAATTTCAAAAGGCAATGTAATATAAACTATGAGATATACTGTTCATAAAACCTGTGTAGTTCTAATTCCATTTTAGTTATAGATTGCGTACTTTCCAAAAATTTTCTGTGAAATGCATGTAAATAACGAACCAAAACATTTTTTTCTAAAGTTAGCATTACTGTTTAAATTAAACTTATTAAAGCACTCCACACACAATCCATCGCCAAATAATTAAGTATTCAAATTCTTAAATGTTTTTTAAAAACCTAAGCAAAGCTAGGCAGTATGCCTAGTAATGAAATATGTCTATTGCGTTGACCCATTAAACACTGCGAATAGTTACAACTAATCTCAGAGTGATAAACATATCACAAATCTTCTCAATAGTTTGTTAAGAGACATCAATAAACGTATAACCATCTTCTCATTAGTTTGTTAAGAAACATCAATAAACGTATAACCATCTTCTCATTAGTTTGTTAAGAAACATCAATAAACGTATCACAAATCTTCTCAGTTTGTTAAGAAACATCAATAAACGTATCACAAATCTTCTCATTAGTTTGTTAAGAAACATCACTAAACGTATCACAAATCTTCCCATTAGTTTGTTAAGAAACATCAATAAACGTATCACAAATCTTCTCAGTTTGTTAAGAAACATCAATAAACGTATCACTAATCTTCTCATTAGTTTGTTGATGCTCACACTCCCCTTGTAAGTAAACATCAGTAGAGAAGGGGGGGGGGGTTAGATCGAAGGACGTGGAATCCTTGCATGTTGGCGCTAGGCAAATAGCTAGTGTGATCAGAGGAAGTCTTTGGCTGGGTGAGTAAAACACCTGGTTACTCACGTGTGCTGCACGTGAGGTGGTGGGGCAGGTGAGTTTGGTTACCTGAGTGATGGATTTAAGATACAGGTGGTTGTGTGGGTGATGGATGGATGAAACGGTGGATACATTCGTGATGGATAGACAGGTAAAAGGTAAATGATACAGGTGGATATATGGATCAAGGTAAATGATAACGATGGATACATGGATGATAGGTAGATGATCCATGTTGATACACGGGTATAGGTAAATGATACAGGGGGATAATAGATTATGTGTGAGATAGATGGATACACTAAGAGTAATATCCATGAATGGCTAAGTATAGCTTTCAAGTACAGCTACTGAGTGTATGATCGATCTCAAGCTCAACATTAAAGTTCACTAAACAAGACACACAAACATCCAACAAAACACTAACTCAGGCACCCAAACATCCAACAAAACACTAACTCAGGCCCACAAACATCCAACAAAACACTAACTCAGACACACAAACATCCAACAAAACACTAACTCAGGCCCACAAACATCGAACAAAACACTAACTCAGGCCCACAAACATCGAACAAAACACTAACTCAGACACACAAACATCCAACAAAACACTAACTCAGACACACAAACATCCAACACAACACTAACTCAGGCCCACAAACATCCAACTAAACACTAACTCATGCACACAAACATCCAACAAAACACTAACTCAGGCCCACAAACATCCAACAAAACACTAACTCAGGCCCACAAACATCCAACAAAACACTAACTCAGACACACAAACATCCAACAAAACACTAACTCAGGCTCACAAACATCGAACAAAACACTAACTCAGGCCCACAAACATCGAACAAAACACTAACTCAGACACACAAACAACCAAAAAAACACTAACTCAGACACACAAACATCCAACAAAACACTAACTCAGACACACAAACATCCAACACAACACTAACTCAGGCCCACAAACATCCAACTAAACACTAACTCATGCACACAAACATCCAACAAAACACTAACTCAGGCCCACAAACATCCAACAAAACACTAACTCAGGCCCACATACATCCAACTAAACACTAACTCAGGCACACAAACATCCAACAAAACACTAACTCAGGCACACAAACATCCAACAAAACACTAACTCAGACACACAAACATCCAACAAAACACTAACTCAGACACACAAACATCCAACAAAACACTAACTCAGGCCCACAAACATCGAACAAAACACTAACTCAGGCACACAAACATCCAACAAAACACTAACTCAGGCCCACAAACATCCAACAAAACACTAACTCAGGCCCACAAACATCGAACAAAACACTAACTCAGACACACAAACAACCAAAAAAACACTAACTCAGACACACAAACATCCAACAAAACACTAACTCAGGCCCACAAACATCCAACAAAACACTAACTCAGGCCCACAAACATCCAACAAAACACTAACTCAGACACACAAACATCCAACAAAACACTAACTCAGGCCCACAAACATCCAACAAAACACTAACTCAGGCCCACAAACATCCAACAAATACACTAACTCAGGCCCACAAACATCCAACAAAACACTAACTCAGACACACAAACATCCAACAAAACACTAACTCAGGCCCACAAACATCCAACAAAACACTAACTCAGACACACAAACATCCAACAAAACACTAACTCACACACACAAACATCCAACAAAACACTAACTCAGACACACAAACATCCAACAAAACACTAACTCAGACACACAAACATCCAACAAAACACTAACTCAGACACCCAAACATCCAACAAAACACTAACTCAGGCACACAAACATCCAACAAAAAACTAACTCAGACACACAAACATCCAACAAAACACTAACTCAGGCACACAAACATCCAACAAAACACTAACTCAGGCCCACAAACATCCAACAAAACACTAACTCAGACACACAAACATCCAACAAAACACTAACTCAGGCACATAAACATCCAACAAAACACTAACTCAGGCCCACAAACATCGAACAAAACACTAACTCAGGCCCACAAACATCCAACAAAACACTAACTCAGACACACAAACATCCAACAAAACACTAACTCCGACACACAAATATCCAACTAAACACTAACTCAGACACACAAACATCCAACAAAACACTAACTCAGGCACACAAACATCCAACAAAACACTAACTCAGGCCCACAAACATCCAACAAAACACTAACTCCGACACACAAACATCCAACAAAACATTAACTCAGGCCCACAAACATCGAACAAAACACTAACTCAGACACACAAACATCCAACAAAACACTAACTCAGGCACCCAAACATCGAACAAAACACTAACTCAGGCCCACAAACATCCAACAAAACACTAACTCAGACACACAAACATCCAACAAAACTCTAACAGCACACATAATATAAGAATTGAAGAAAAAATTCCGTTTCCTGTACATTTATTTACATACAATTTAAAATACACTGCAATGAATTAAACAGTTAAAACAATTTGTCTCACAATTTTTTGCCGTTTTTAAAATTACAATATAATGATATGTCCACCTATTATAGAGCATTCGTCTAACTTGTAGTAAACTGTTCATTACTGTAAGTGTTACCGACTACCACTAGACCGTCCACTACCAAAATATAATGTCCGGCATCTCTCATAGACTAGCGTCCACCTCCTCCATGGCAGCAGATAGCATGTCGTCATCACTGTCAGTCTGGAACCCATCAATGACATCATCCTGGTCAATGAAGAACGAAGCAGGAAGTAGATGATAGGGAACATCTTTGGCTGAAAGTAAACACCAATTATCAGAACTCAGATCAATAAACAGCCTCAACTAACCTATCACAATGTCTGAATGATAAAAAAAAACAAAAAAAAGATGATGTATAAATTTTAAAAAGAATAATTTCAATAAACGGGGCTGTGTGGTCAGATGGTAGGGCAAACAACTGGTAACCCAAGAGTCCTCGGTTCATATCACAGTCTTGGGTACCAGAGTTTCTTCCAGGCATCTACCCCCCCCCCCCCCCCCATCGAAATGAAATTTATATAGAAAATATATACTTTTAACAGTCTACCACTCCCCGCCACCCCAAAAATTTCAAGTGCCCCCCCCCCCACCCCCGAGATAAAAGGCTGGAAGAAACACTGTTGAGTACTGGAGTTCATCTAGCTCAGGCAACTGACTGACCTTAGGGAAAGTAAGGCATAGTACTGACCACACTATCCCTCCAAATGCCAAAGTCATAAAAACAGTTGAACTCTACTTCATTGGCCCCATGGACCGCCAGGTTTGTAAGGGTAATTTTTCCAATTGAAATAAACTTGTTAATTAACATGATAAAATGGTTGTGTATTTTTTAATATGAAAAACTTTGTGATTAAATCACAAAGCAGCATTATTAGAGTTTACTCCTCGTGTTGATATTGAATACAGAAAGGTCAAAGTTCAGTCATTGAGCTAAGATAGTACGGTCAAAGTTAAGTAGTATAAATTAACGAGGTTGCAGTTCAGCCTTGTCTTTCAAAAGCTATGTTTAAAATTTAGCCCAAGAATTGATTTAATTAATTAAAATAGGCAAAGCTGTATAAAAAAATTGACCTACATTCTGATCTGTATCCCTGGCATTCTGGGTCATGACATTTCTGGTAGTAAATGCCATGTTGAATGTCAACAACATACCTAGAACGAATACAAATGTCAACAACCCAAATGATATGCACAAATAAATGTAAGAAATGTCAGCTAAATACCTCAGTCAGCTTAAATATGGGGATTTGTTCTCTTTAAGAATTTTTCATATTAAAAACAGTAGAAACAGAAAGATCTTAATAAAATGAATTAACGTCATCCAAACTTAATGGGACGGTGTGGCCTAGTGGTAGAGCACTAAACTGCTAACCCAGAAGTCTCAAGTTTGAAACTGGATTCAAGTAAGTTAAATGTCCTTGAGTCCACCCAACTATAATGGGTACCTAACAAACATTAGGGAAAGTAAAGGTGGCTAACCAGACTCTTCATATGCCGAGGTCACAGAAACAGGTAAACTCTTACTTCACACACCCCCTGAGACATCAGGTTCAAAAAGGGGACTTTAGACTTTATTATTTGGATACTAGGTATTTGTTGCTAATGAGTTCTTGAAAGTATTCTCATCAATACTGTAAAAATCAAAGATAAACAATAGAAAAGGCTGTATGAGAATCAAGGCTTACATTATGTTGTTGCTGCGATGCTGTCTCTGTATGTTCCCACACCATCTGTAACCAGCTACCTCGTACAGCAGAGTCTGGCTGTCACTGAAATATATCCACTGGCGGATTGTGCCTTTGTTACCATTCACTCTAATTAAGCCTTGGATGAATCCATCAATCTCTGGATATGGTGAGGTCGCGGAATATCCGTGCATGGAGTCTGTGATGATACAATTTAGGCAAGATTCAAAAATAGGTCAAAGACAGGAGAGAGGTAGAATAGCATCGGTCAGCTAGACATCGGTCAAGCAGAACCAATAAAATCACCTGAAAAGTTAAAAACAAATCGACTGTTAACATGTGATGGTCAGCTGATCAACCAAGCGTTAGTAGTTGGGCAGAGTTAGCGGCAGTTGGTGAGTCGAGCGTGTATGAGAAAGTAGAGTGTTAGAAAGTAGTAGAGCAGAGACTGTGTATAAGTTAGAAGGTTAGCGTTGAGTAGATAGTTAGGTGATAGAAAGTGATAGTGGACAGTTGGATAGCTGAAGTGTATAGGACAACAGAATTAGGAGTAGGATATTGAAATTTGTATACAAAGTAAATGAACTTAAACATTGAATTTCCCATGCTGTACAACATTAGAAGGATCAATCCTCTAACCAAATATATCTACAATACAATATATATATAGGTTTGTCAATAGTTAATTTTTTTTGAAAGTCACCATTGGGCAGTTTGAAAATATCTTTTGAATCAAAATAAAACATACCTTGTGTGTGGTCTGATTGTGAGACCATATGTGAATCAAATAAAACATACCTTGAGACCATATGTGAATCAAAATAAAACATACCTTGTGTGTGGTCTGAATGGGAATGGTGGACACCATGTTCAATCAATGTAGGGGAGCTTGCAGTCTTAGCAAAACTCAGTGTCCTAACGTTTGAGGCAGCACACCTTTTATAAATAAAAAACTCAGCAAAATTATATTTGATAAACACCTTATTGAATTTTTTTTTAAATTCTTAGTATACTACAATTCTCCATTAAAAACAACAGCTTAAAATGGAATGAGTGAAATAACAAAGTAAACAAGGAAGAATGATTTACAGATGAAAGCTGGTGGGAAACCTATGGTATGAAACCCAGAGCAGATTTTCACAATTGTTGAGATATGTTTGATTTTGTGAGCAGGGTAGGCAGTGGCTCTGCTTATACATGATCATAGATTTGGTTAATAATTGATTGTAACATGGCTGAATAGAAAATTAATTTAAACAGCTTACAAAAAAAATTAATTAAAACTTTACTAGGCAGAAAATTAATTAAAACCTGGCTAGTGTAGATTCAGCTAATCCCCAAACCTACCTCTGTGAGATTAAAGATGAGTAGAACACAGCCTCACTCATGTCGGATGTTCCGCTCACATCCGGATAATACAGGTTGTGTCTGGATACATCCAGTGGATTATGTTTGTTCTGTTTACTGGACAGATACAAGCGGAAGTTTCTATTTTTAGTGTACACGCCTGTAAGAACCATTAAAAAGTTGGAGCAATAAAAAAAAACAACTGGAAAAATAAAGAAAAGAATTTATAATTTTTAGGTAATTAAGAATAAATGTTGAGAGAACTGCTTTATAACAATGAGAACAAGTTGCTAGTTTACAGAAAAAAATGTCCTGTCTAGATCACACGTATCACCTACCTAGATCACAGACCAAAGTTTTATTCCTGTCTTTGTTTATCACAACAAGAGATGTCAGCTGTTCCAACGTAAAGTGACCACAGACATCAATTGTACTCTTGTCAACATTAGCTGGTCTCACATTGAGATTGCTGCGGTCAGCATTAGTGGGTCTCACATTAAGATTGCTGTGGTCAACATCACATATGCTGTCATTACGAGTACGTTTACTCCCTAACTGTACACCATGCATGTTATCCGACACATTGGCTGATATCACGTCCACACCAGTTTGACCCAAACACTTTAATTCACAATGTTCAGCCACTAAACTCATCTTGTCTTCATCTTCTATTTCAAAACCATCCTCATTAGCACAAGCTGATTTATCATCTTCATTAGCACAAGCTAATGATTTATCATCTCCGTTAGTACAAGATGATTTCTCATCTTTAATAGCCAACGCTGATTTATTATAATCTGCCTGGCTGGTAAGAATCACTTCTCTTAAAGCATGTTCTTGGCTATTTGGGGATTTCCAATTTAGATAATTGATGAGTTGATGAAAAATATAATGTACAAAATATCCTAAACAAAACAAAAAATGATTTCATTAGAGTTGTGAACGAGATCAAAAGTTCTAGGAAGTTCTAGTTAAACATTTAATAATAATAACTCAACATGGAAATTTATTTTAAATAAAAGCGTAATAAAACTAACTCATTAAAATTACCTGCAACAACACAGTTTTCAAACAACGCGCCAGGCAACTGGAAAATAAGATGGCGACTAAACTTGCTTCCAGTACTGTCAAAACAATTAGGAGGGTTTTAAAAAAATTAACAGTAACTTAAACAAATTATGTTTAACTTTTTAAGTTTGGCCAGCACAATTTAGAAATTCTTACCTAGCATCAAGGTCCAAGACATTTGTCCTGTTGCAGTCCAGCTGGTAAATTATCTTCAGCCATAAACAAACATACTGGAATTGATAAAATAGAAGTGATTTTTTAAGAAGTTGAACCATGTTTAAAGAAACAATTTAGACATTAAAAAGAGAAACCCTGATTGAAGAAACAATATCAACATGAATAGTTTTTTTAAAATGGAAAACCACAAGGGTAATTATGCCAACAACTAGGTTTATATATCAACAACTAGGTTTTAACAGCTATAGGTTTTCTTTAAACCTAGCAAGCTCTGATAGATAATGATAGTCAGCTAGCAAAGGCTACTGACAATTCATAAATATAGCAAAGTCCATAGAAATATAATTAGACATGTTTTGACTACTTTATGCACTGGCATTCATTTCTTGTGTAATAAAATCAACTCCATAAAGGAAAAAAAAATTGAGGAATGTTGTGTAGCTGTTGTAGCTGCCTACCTGGATCAATATGTCTGTCATATTGTCTCCATTATGTTCAAGATTAAAATCTTTCAGAAACTCAAGATCAAAATATAACTTGCATAGACACTCTAAAAAAAAAAAATAGTTGCTAAAATTATTTTTTTTATATATATTTCAGCAGTTACAAAGAGAACAGTATTTTTTAAAACACATAACACAATTGTAGCTCTTGTTTCTATTCTCATGTTAAATTCACAAAATTCTGGACAACCCTTTGAACCAATATGACCTGCACATCTGAAGATTTTTTTTTACACTATCATTCTCACCCCCCCCCCCCAGATTACCAGCAGCAATGTTTACAACCATTATCTCCCTCTACCCCACCCCTACCCCAAACAAATACATGACCAGCTACTATTGCTAGTGGCTATTTGATCACCTTGACCTTTTCCTCGCCCACTCCACCAAAAATAAATGACCGACAAATATTGCCAGTGGCTATCCACATCCCCTTTGATAACATCTGCCCATTGCATGATTGTGCAATAAAGCTACATCATTGATCAAGATACTAGCAAATATTATTTTAAACTAGGACATCAACCCACCTTTTGGAATAATTTCATAATGATGTCTCTTTCCTGCCTCAAGCTGGCTGTACAATAAGATTTAGTTAATATTTGGTTAATAATAGGATAACACTTGGTTAACAATAGGGTAACATTTGGTCAACAATAGGCTAACATTTGGTTAACATTAGGATAACACTTGGTTAACAATAGGATAACACTTGGTTAACAATAGGGTAACATTTGGTCAATAATAGGCTAACATTTGATTTACAATAGGCTAATATTTAGTTAACAATAAGGTAGCATTTTGTTAACAATAGGATAACATTTGGACAAAATAGGGTAACATTTCGTTAACAATAGGCTAAAATTTGGTTAACAATAGGCTACATGACATATGTCTATTTTTTAATCACGATTACCAGTAAAATATTCTAAATTAACTGTAAAAATGCCAAAAACAATACCTGTAAAAATGCCAAAATACAGGTAGACTTGTCACCAGGTATTGTCTCTTGCCAGAGCTGACACCCACAAGAGCTGCCGACTTTTCAACTGCAAACACAAGAGTGTCCTGTCGTCAATAAAATGAAAGAAATATTTATTCAGAATTTCAACAATGTAAAGAAGCAATAATTAAATTTGTTAATGCAATCAACTCAGACATCTCATCTAGATGGGACAGCAAGGCCTAGCGGTAGAGCACTAGACTGCTAACATGAAAGTTTCAAGTTTGAATCCTGGTTCAAGTCAGTGGCGTGTCCCTGAGTCCACACAGCTCTAACGGGTACCTACCACATGTTAGAAAAAGCAAAGGTGGCTGGGCATAGTGCTGACTATACTATCCCTTCATATGCCGAGGTCTCTGAAACATGTGTCTAGGGCACAAAGAGATGAGATGAGCTCATCTAGAGTCTGAAAGCCACAAGTCTTGCTGACCAGTTGCCTCCACCATGGTATCTTCCCAATTTTCATTAGTCTCTCCAACTGTCCCCTGGTGTATTCAATCTTCTTGGTGTCTTCTACCAGGTCCTCCATGATTAGAACACAAATAAATATTGCCATGCCAAAAAGAGTGCTAGTCTGATTCTTTGTTCAGATATTATGTTTTTGTCTCTCTAAAGTGTCCGAAGCCTGTGAGTTGTACTAGGCTACAGCTCAAGAGATGATTGCGCCCAAATATTTGAACTTTATATTATTTATAAACATCATAAAGCCAACGTTTAAATAACAAATTATTCAACATAAATTCTTAAACTTTTTACCAAAAAAAACCCCCATTAAAAACTCAACCTTCAAATAGTTTAGAGAACAATTTTAAACTATTTAACACTTTCTATACCATAAAAAGTTGAAGTCTGATGTATACAAATATCAATATAGTTGCAATAAAAAAACAGTAATATTTTGTATTTATTGTTTTATACCAGAAGACGATGACTAAACATTTTATGTGGCACATACATATAACCTCCCTTGCTTACCTCTGATTTTGCTGCAAACTTGAAGGCGTCAGCTTGCCGATAAAATACTCTCCAACTCTCTGTTGGCCCAAGAATTCTGAATAGAGATTTACAAAACTTAGGATCATTTTTTTATTGTTTCATTATTTTACACCGTGGATTTTAAGATCAATGCTCACATTTCCCGCAAAATAGAAAAATACAAAACTTTATTGACATTGCATAATTTTTTTTAAATGCCCATAAATTACATGGAATTTTAAATTATTTTCATAGATGCGACTATTTAAATCCTGAACAGACCAAAGAATTAAGATTAGCACATTAGGCTAAAAATTAATTCATAAGATGTAGAGGTGCTAAAGGCTTTTGCTGCAAGAATTTATGTATTTGAAAGCATGTAAACCAGTGTACTAAAACTGTAGGTACGCTTACATAGCAACACAAAATGTTTACCTGTGGGGGAAAGCTTTCGGAATCATTGGTTGTATTTTCTCTAGGTCAGGGTCAAATTTCTTCCTTTTCCTTCTTAAAATAGTTATTAAAAATGAAACAATTTTTACTCAAGCAAATTTCTAAAAAAAAATAATTCAATAATTTCATCTTTAGGCCTATATGAAATGTTAATAAATAGAGAAAGCAATGTATCCAAATTAATTACATAGCACTCTTTAAATTTTAGAATAACCTTGTAAGTTGCATCTCATTTTGCTGAAAGGGATAGATCTAGACCTAACATCAAGTGGAAATTTAAAGTTTAAGGATTTCCATGGGCATGTAGATATTATATTTTCATGAAAATCCCATTTGAACAATTAAAAATAAAGAAATATAGGCCTATGACAAAATATATGAAAAATAAACTTAAATTTTCTTACCTTGGTTTAGGAGTGCCATAGAACTTTATCACAGAAAAATGAGCTTCAGATGTCATCTTTATAGATCTAGGATCAAGAAAAACTGTTTTCAAATATCATTCTTTAAAATTAGCCAGACCCACATTTAAAAACATATTTGCGTAGCTAGTTCCCAAATATCAAGCAAGAATCTAGAGGCCAATAAATAAGAATATTTTAATCTTTAGTCAAGTGACTTTAGTCCAACTTTACTAGATCTAGATAAAAATAATGTATTTAAATGTATCAAACTTTGATAACTTAGGTACATACTAAAATTGAGTACTAACATATGTAAATGATGTAAGACTATAATTTATAATAGCATTGTAGTAGGCATATATAGAATAATATTGTACAATAATAAAAGAAGTTAGCTAGACTGCTAGAGGGCCACTTGACTTGAGTAGCTAGTAGAGTTGCGAGTAGGTAGAGTCGAGTACTAGAGTCTAGGGTAAAACTCCATTTTAGCGTATTTTATTCCCCCCTTCACGTTCACCTCTAGTTGAGTGTATTTTATCATAAACACAACAGAAACACACAAAAACATTAGGAAAACACTTATCTACTTATTTTTTTATGAATGTGATTTATAATTAGAAAAGGTAAAAAAAAAACATAAAAAAGCATTAGTACTGTTCCAATTAAATATCGTGTGATCGTCAGCGGGAGAAAAATCCTTACATGGTTGCGGGTTCACCATGAGTTCACATTGACTTTAATTATCAGCATACATCATAGCTCAGGCAATAGCTGTTTGAAATTGTGTTGGCCTCGGTTTTGGGGTCATTGTAAGTTCATAAATGCTTATTTATAGTATCATGCCTGGGAGATACTTGTAACAATACAAACTTAACCGACTTGCAATTGTGAGTTACATTTACGTACTTCACCCATTGCCATGAAAATTCTAGATCTAACTGACACATGAACATAGCACATTCAATATTCTAAATTTGGATTTTTGACCAAAGTAAATTATCAAAATCTAAAACAAAGTCAGTCTCTTTATTTTTTGGTAAAACTCCATTTTAGCGTATTTTATTCAAATAAATAAATCGTGTTTTCCTAATGTTTTGGTGTGTTTTGGTTATTATAATTATAATAAAATATGCTCAACTGGAGGTGAACAAGAAGCGGAGAATAAAATACGCTAAAATTTAAAATGGAGCTTTACAGAGTCTTGCAATCTAGCTAGTCTATATATATCAGATCGGTAATCTATCGTTTTGGGTACGTAAAATCGCCCGCTGTTAGTAATGTACGAAAAAGTTACCTCATTGTCAAGGCTTTAATAAAAGTATATTTTGATATATTTGTGTCAAATATTATAGATAAATGAATAATAAACCTAAATCAATAGCTAAATAAAAAAATATATATATCAATATAGGCAAGAAATTAACTTTTAACAGCAGTGTTTGTGAGCAGGATTTCCTATATATTCAGCAGCCATTTGTAAAATAGAGTTGCCTTCCCCTGAATCTTGCGCTATAAGTTAACGAAGAAAGAACTTAAACAAGATGGCTGCTATAGTAAATGAGCATGGTTGCATCTGTTGGAAACATCCCTAGTCTTCATTTATTACTGAAAAGTTTTAATTCAATTGTTTGAAAACAGGTAAAAGTTTCCCTTTCAAACCTGACGGTCTATGGGGCAAGTGAAGTAGAGTTCACTTGTTTCTGTGACCTCGGCATATGAAGAGATAATGTGGTCAGCACTATGCCCAGCCGCCTTTACTTTCCCTAACGTGAGTTAGGTACCCATCAGAGTTGGGTGGACTCAGGGACGTTCTACTGTCTTGAACCCGGATTCGAACTCGAAACTTACGGGTTAGCAGTCCAGCTCTCTACCGCTAGACCACTCCGTCCCTTTGAAAACAGGTACATAAATGAAACTTTGAAACATTTCTGTATTTTTCAAAACATAAATCCTCCTCAAAATGTGAAATAATTATTAAAATGTAAGGAGTCACCTGTTTTTCACATTACTAGTCGCGGGCGATTTTACGTACCTAAAACGATAGATTACCATCCGATCTAGACTCTAGATCTACTAGATAACTAGATCTAGCTAGCTAGAGTGCTGCTAGAGTTAGAGTAGCTACCTAACACCTAACAACTACTAAACTAGATCTAGATAAGCTAGATTGGTAATCTATCGTTTTGGGTACGTAAAATCGCCCGCGGCTATTAATGTACGAAAAAGTTACCTCATTGTCAAGGCTGTAATAGAAGTAGGTCTATATTGTGATATGTTTGTGTCAAATATTATAGATAAATGAATAATAAACCTTAATCAATGGCTAAATATATCTGATTATATCAACATAGGCCAGAAATTAACTTTAAACAGCAGTATCTGCAAGCAAGATTTGCTATATAAACAGCAGCCATTTGTAAAATAGAGTGACTTCCGCCTGAATCTTGCGCTATATGTCTATAAAAATAAAACTTTAACAAGATGGCTGCTATAGTAAATGAGCAAGGTTGCATCTGTTGGAAACATTGCTGGTGTTCATTTATTACTGAAAAGTTTTAATTCAATTGTTTAAAAACAGGTACATAAATGAAACAAGGAAACATTTTTGTATTTTTCAAAACATAAATCCTCCTCAAAATGTAAAATAATTATTGAAATGTAAGGAGTCACCTGTTTTTCACATTACTAGAATCTAGTCGCGGGCGATTTTACGTACCTAAAAAACTAAAACGATAGATTACCGCTAGATTCTTTATAGAATTTAGGTTAGTCATGCGGTACGCTAAAACTAAAATAAAACAATAGCTAGAGATAATAGATCTATATAGATTTCTAGATCTACTATAGATCTATACCTAGATAATAGATATAGACTCTAAGTCTAGTAGATATCTAGATAATAGATATCTAGATCTAGACTCTTGTTTGTTGTCAACGTCACTGTTGATGGTTTAATCAAAATTGCCTCTTTTTTTCTAATTGTGGAACTCTTTTATCTTGATTATTAACCAAAGAATATTGGTACAAATTCTCCACATTCAAACGTCATGTTGAATAGTAGCTTTTTTACAAACACTCCACGGCTAAGATTATAAAGCTACTTTAATATCGGTTGCAAGAAATACATTAATATGTATTGAAAGACAGTTTCAATATGAGCTGCACGATTGGATATTCTACTGTAACTCCCCTCCCCCGCCCCCACTTGTATAATAATCCAATTCATCTTCCATGTGCGGTAAATTAATGGCCGTCTAGAGCAAAATAACCCAGCGATACACGAGAACAAATATAACATTTTTAATATTTAAAAAAAAAACGAATAGCAATTTATGATGATCAGGTTACAGCGTTCTCTTCTTGTTAGATTGCTATAAAAAGCGAGGCCATTGTCGTACCGGGTGACCCAACCTTCAGAGGCGTAGCGATCCCTGCCGGGGACAAACTTGCAATTTGGCGCCCCCCCCCCCCCTCATATATTTTTATGTTTATAATTCAAAACTGCAATTAAAATGAGCTTTCCCCCCCCCCCCCAACCCATTTTGGCGCCCTTAGGGTCGGCGCCCGGGGACATGAGTAACAACACCCGCCCTCCTCCCTTCGCTACGCCTCTGCCAACCTTAGTCCTTAGTCACGCCTTCGAATATTTTTTTACGTTAAAAATTTTAAAAATCTTTTTGTGCCCTGGTCAGGTTGAAAACTTTCAGTGGCGTTACAAAAGGGAAATTAGACATGGCTTAATGTTAGGCCTACTTAAGTGAATTTAAAATCTTCTTCTTCTTCTTCTTCTTCGTTCTTAATTATTAGTGTTGAAGGGGATCGAGACTTATCTGCCAGTGGGGTTGAACTCGAGGTTGTTCGAATTTATCAACCATGAGCTTTTTGCCGACTCGACCACGCCTCCAACACAATTAAGCGTTACGTGTCAACTGGTTATGCGCCATTGAGGCCATTGACTCCGATTTCAGCCTGCTTTTCTTTTTGGATTTGCTTCCATAGCCTTTGTCCAACCAAGAACAAACTACAAGGCAGCAGTTGTTTAATTTTAGAGTTGTCTCTCCTAGAAGAGTGGCTGTCCCCAGCTAACGAGCCTCATCTGCCCGAGGGTTCGAACTCGAGACTTTTCGGTTTAGCAACCATGAGCTTTACCCTGAATTTAAAATGAAACGATTTAATTCAAATCCACTGCAAGGCCAGGGTGGGTGAATGATTAAACATAAATAAACCTACATATTAAAAATAAAAAATAAAACAGAACAGGCAGTGCCTCTCTTTGGCATCGCACCGCTAACCGCTATTAGGTTTAAGATTTTCAGCCGTGTAAATATAAGGCTAAAAAAGCATCAAGCAAAATAGAATGCATGAGTTACCGCCCATGATATACATAGATAGAGAAGATACTTTTGCATTCTGGTGTCGTTTCTTTTATCCTTGCTTGTATCGTCGTTTAGAAAAATGGTTGTAGGGCCGACTGATAGGACCCTGATCAGCCTCTGACCGAACCCTTATCCTGACCTGGCCTTGACCTGACCCTGACCCAGGGGCGGAACTACAGTGCCGCCAGACCCCGCAATGCGGGGGGGGCCCACGCCGTTTAGGGGGCCCACAGCCGCCCATAATCATTTTTTTATAGTTAAAATTAATTTTCTTGCATTTTTGACCTGATGGTTGTTTTGAAAAAATAATACTGTAGCTGCGGTTGGAGTATCTTTATTCTATAAACATCATCCCACGCTCTTGTATATTCTTTTTCCTACAATCAAACACACGCTGTTGTCGGCAAAATTCTTTTGAAAAAACATCAATTGCGCGAGAGGCCGCTAGATATTAAGACGGCATTCTGAGACCGTCCCAAATTTGGTACTGATGGATAAAAGCACATCGGTGCTTTGTTTTCCCTTTTAAGTTTCTTTCTCAGACCTCCCCTCCCGCTCTTAGCCTTACAAGAAGCGAATAGATAGCGCCTCAACAACTAAGCTGGCTCGTATCGGTGGTAGTGTAGACAAGCTAAGGCTGCGGTTACACTATACGACGGCAGACCGAATTTTTTCATCTGACGT